TTATACAAATGAAATAATACTTAAATAAATATCGCGATCGGGTAATTAAATTCTATTTTAAAAATAAAAAATAAATATAGTATAAAACTAAAAAATATTACACAATAAATTTTAAACTATGTGACATGTAGGTAGGGATACATAGATATTATATGTACATACTTGATAATTGAAAAGGAGGGATTAAAAATTAAATAATATTTTTAATTAATTTTAAATTTTATTTAATTATCAGCATCCCGTTCCAATTATCAAATATAAAAATAAATCAAATTGTAATATGTATAATTGTATAATTTTGAATTTCATTAAATTTTCAGTTCCCCTGAAATTAGATTTAATTTTTTATAAAATTCTATACATGTACAAAGTGTGTAACGCGTTAACATTGTAATTAATTTTGTTATAAATAAATGTATGTATAATAGTATTAGGTACAGAATATAAAATTTATGTAAACTATGTCCAGATAAATGCTATCATGTTTACTTTTATAATTTAACACAATAATTATTAGTAAATTATACATTTATTGAAATGTTTATATCCATATTAAATATATCTATTTAATACATAGCATTTATCGTGTCATAGTAAATCAAATTTATTGTTGCTTTATTGATGTAAATTACACAAAATCGACGAAACATATGATAACAAAAATTATTTATTGATTTAACGAATTTGATAAATATTTAATTTTAAAACTTTCTTTAAATTTCTTTTTTATTTTAAGTATCAAAAAGTCATTAATAATTTTGAGTAATTTTTAATTAAAAATTTGATGTTTAGAATAATCTTCAATTTTTCTTTTGTATTTAGTATACAAATTTATTGAATAAGTCAGTAAAGATTGGAGCTTTGACTGAGGCAATGGTTAAATGTTAACTTCTTGTTTGCTTTTTGACATTTATATTTTTAACATTATAGAATTACAAGTATATCTGATTGATTCATTATATGCAAAGACCTCATCGCTGTCAGATGTATGCCAGTGAATGTGTAGTTTATACCGATGGAAAGTCGTAATTATTTTTATCATGGAGAGTTATTCCTCGTCGCTTTCCATTCGCAAAGTTTGGTGTCCCATTCGAGATTCTTGTACAGGATCGGAATTAATCCCGATTTTCTCGTCTGTAGTTATTGGAAGTAATAATTTTGTCAGTAAATCAGTTATATTTTGAAGTCAAGTTGCGAAATTAATTCAGTGATATATTTTAACACACAATTTCCATCGTTTTTTTGTTTTATTAAATGTTCTGCCACTAGTATTGATAATGTTAGTAATAGTACTGTCTTAATAACAATAAGAATTTATATTATATGATTAATATGGATATATGGATTATGTGTTTAAGTCCAAATTATTAAGTAAATAAATAAATTTTAAACAAATAGTTTGCTCAATTTTCGATGATTTCCCTAACAAAAATATGGTTACGAATGTATATATTTAATTTTCTAACTGTTATTTTAAAATCATTTTTAGATATTGGACATCCCGCCATTCCAGAATATTATTAATTATTAATTTATACATATACATACTTTTATGTGATAAAATACATGCAGATATTATGAGATTATATTTAATAAATTTTTGTTTTTGTTAATGAATTTAATGAAAAATGTATGGTTACAAAAAATTCGAGATAAGTCGAATGGGTACCCTTATATTAGCGGGATGTTAATAATTAAAATTTTTGGAAAATACAGAAAAATAAGGAATAATTAAATTTTACATAATAAATTTTTCAGTATAAAAGTTCTTTAAAATCCCGTTATTATTGGGTTCGACTTATCTCGAACAGTTGGTACCCGAGAAACTTTTGTACCCATACATATAAAAAATTACAATAAAGCATGTATTTTATTATTATTAAATATATTCCTCCGTAACCTCCATTCCGTAACGAAATTATTCTGTTCGTTTATTTTTAATAAGAAATGCTTTTTAGATATGTGGCAGAACATATTTTCTCACGAATTTTAATATTATATAAAAGATGTGATAAAAATAATAATTGTAATTTACATGTTACCAAAATTATTACTATCGTAAGTAGTCTGAAAGATTCGGGATTCATACCCTTCTGTAACAAAATTTCTGCAACAAAACTGGTGTTTGATTGAATGCTTAATTTTTCTGTATGAATGAACATTGTGAATTTGACGTAGAAAGTTCATTCTCTCTCTATGAAGATTGTTCTTCTTTATATCGGCTAACTATAGCGTACCACAAGGCGGAGGGACTTTGATATGTTTACATTATTGAAATAAGTTATCTCGAACGCGATGAAAGTACTGTCATAAGTATATTAATGACTTTTTATCGCAATATTAATATGTTTTATAATCGCAATACGGGAAAAAAATGTTTTATATAACTATATAAAATTATATAAAATTAAATATATTTATATATATATATATTTATATATAAAATTATATAATGTTATACAAAATTGTATATAATTTTATATAATTTTATATAAAATATTTTTTTCCGAGAAGTTATTAATTAATAGTAAATACGATGTAATTGTTAGTGTTTCATTCCGCGTTTATCAATATTTCACTAAACATTGATTTAAGAAAATTTATGTTTTCATATGTATTTTCGACGCTTCTGTGTAATCCCGCATTACTAAAATTTGTTTGTTATGCTCCTATAATTACATTTTTATTATATTTTGAACAGCATTTATGATTGTATATTATATTGTATATTATATTGTTATTATTGTAATATTGAATTGTACAAAAGATTTCAATAAAAGATAATATCAAAAAAATTAATGTAATATCATAACCGAAATACAAAATAAAATATAAACACATAAAAAATAAAAAATAAATTAAAAATACTCACCTGCAAAAACGGGTTACTAAATTTATTAGTTGCTCGTTTTTTTTACGGATGAGTATACTTACAAAGAAAAGAGGACCGCAGATAAAATCTGCGGGGGTGGTGGAGGGCCTCTAGCTCGTTTTTACCAAATTTAATTTAAAACTTAAATTAATGATATATGATTGGAAAAATTTGAAATGTATTCAAAGTCTCTAGAATTGCTAGTAAATGTAGAAACTTTGAAATATACTTACATACTAGTAATTATATTTGGTCAAAACGGGCTGAAATTCTACAATAAAAAAAAATTTCATAATTCCATTTATATGTAGGCGCCTATTATAAAACAAAATTCTAACTAAATTAACTTGTTTGAGTATTCAATTTCGAGTTTCTTAAAATTCAACAACTTTTATTTCCACAGTAGGAGATGCGAAATTGAAATTTTCGTTTAACCCATTAATAAACATTGTATCATTAAAAGGTTTATTAAATAAAAATGTTAAATAAAAAAGATTGTTATTACAGAACCAGAATTCGGATTTTCTTGAAATATACTCAAATTTTGTGTTATAATATGCATGAATTTTGTATACGAGATATCTTATACATAAAAATGTTAATTGTAAAAATGTATAAGGAATTTATTATTTATGTATTTTATATTAAAAAGATTTAAGTCTATTTTTTGTGTTGTATTATATTTTATTACATTGTATTATCTGAATACTTTATATATTATAATTCTTTCTTTATATTTTTTTTATTTTGATATCAAATAAATACATTACGTAAAAATATTAAATTTGTATGTAATACATAATAAAGACAATCCAGCAAATCTGAAGTTACACGTACGTATCTCTTACATTAATTAATTTGCCATAAGAATATAATTGTAATATATTATGTGTGTTGTACTACAGTTATGTTTTAATTATTACATATAACTTGGTGTTTGCTGAGAAAAAGAAGACTGCCATTATAAATTGGTTGGGGTGATGGAGGTTGATTCATTTTTCTCATTTAAATTTTCTTTACAATTTTATATTAAATATAGTTGCTTACAATTAGAAAAATTTCAACTTTATGCAAATTGCAAATTGCAATATGATAAAGTAGCGCATTGATTGATCGCAATGTTTCAGGAATTCTCGTCCTATATTTGAATATATTTGTGTTACTTTGAAATTTCAACAATATAAATAAAATTAGATATTTTAAAGGTATTAACAAATAAATTTCTTACATTACATAATGGCTTTGAATCGTGAAAGCTCTGTTTTTTTGCACATGACAATATAAAACAGAATTCTTATCGGATATCATTCGTCGCTCATTTCTTATCAGTGTAATAGGCATTAAGGGCACACAAAGAAACTTAAGCGATCAAATGTAAGCAGTAAGCGAATTGACCATTTACAGTAAAGTCTGTAAAGCCATAACATAAGCAATAACCAATCCAACATGTTGATTTCCTTACTTTTGATTGATCAACCGGAAGAAAGAATTTTACTAACTGACCAATCAAAAAATACTTCGAAGCATTCGTAGCATCAATTGGACCGTAACTTAAAGGTACGGTCAACGTGATGCTACAAATGCTTTAAAGCAATTTTTGATTGGTCAATTTGAAAAATTCTTTTTTCTAATTGATCATCAAACGCTTCAAAGCATTTGTAGTGAGACTTTGACCGCAGCCTAAAATGTACGTGCTAATGTATTTGTCGCTGGTATATTTTGTGTTTAAAACTGGAGAAAATAAAAAATTGCAGATTTCTGCATTTATTTATTTCTGTATTTATATACTGTATTTATTTATTGATTATTTGATTTCTGTATTTATTTGTAAAACTTTAAAAAATCGCTTCGTTAATTGGTTGCTGCTTCCGCTGCTTGACGCTTGATGCTTGCCTGTGAATGCATCTTTAGGCTGTGTTCGGAAACGTTATCCAAGTGCTCTCATGTATCATTTTATCCTTGTTGCTTGTTCAATTAATGAATAATAAAACAAGGATAAGATAATACAATTGTGAAGAAGAATGAGATGATATTGTACATGGAGGCATCTGGATGGTTTTCGAACACAGCACACAGCCTAGTTGATTTAATATATATATCAATATGGTCTCAGTATATTTTTAATTAATAAGATCGTAAACAATTGTAATTTGTGTCTTGTTCTGTGTAATGTATTATTTTATCAACGAACTAAGAAAATCTCTTTTTTGACACATAAATGCGTACTGTAATACTCTTCAATCTCCATTGTAATAAAGCAAGAGATTCTTAACCTTTAAGTTGATTGAAATACAATATTTCTGACACACATTACTCTTCCAAAGATCTTCAAAGATTTCCAAATTATTTAGACTTAGGTCTAAAATGATGAAAAGAATTGTCATTGCAATAACTTCTGGAGTTATCGTGTCAGAAATAATGTGGCAGTTATACAAAAAACATAAGCGTTCTCGGAAGAAAGTGATCAATACTTTCAATTGCAATGGTTCCGTAGAACAGCTTTGCGACAATACAGAAGCAAAAATTTTGGAGGTTATGTTTTTTTCACAAGACTCTGCTTTATGTCGACCACATTTGAAATGTATGCAACCATGTAGAAAGCAGAATTGTCCAATAAGATACTTAAAGTAATTTTTTCAATGTGATATAAAGACATTATTATTTATTCACATCTTTCTCATAGCTTGCAACTGTATAGAACATATCTGATGTATTTGCAGGAAGATTATATATTATTTGGATTCGGCAATTCATACTTTAGACATATGTTTATATTTCTTTACATTTGTGGAATTGGCAGAGGCAGTTATAAGGGCTAAAAACAGAAATGTTGTTGTAAGGATCATATTGGAAGATTCCATGACATATACTGATCGAAGCCGATTAATGACCTTTTGCAAAGAAGGTTCGTAACAAGTATTCTGATATATGGATAATTTAGTTAGAAATAAATATATGAAGAATTTAATTACAAGATATAATCTTGTATCAAATTTATATAATGTGTGTCAACTTAGTATCAACCTAATTGACATTATTTTGCTTTGCAGGCATTAAACCAGTAGTCAAACAATTGGACGTCTTGGTGCACCATAAATTTGTTATTATTGACAATAACATTTTGATAACAGGTAGCATAAACTGGACTAAATCAGCATTTTTTGGAAATTTTGAAAATGTTTTAATAACTAACGAATCAGCAATAGTTAAGCCATTTATATATGAATTTGAGAGGATGTTGACGATGCTCACTGATAGAGAAACTAATTTTGAAAATTCAGATATATATTCATAATTTATTTTAAACGTCTTTACTTACAATAAGTAAAGAGTATAAACATTTGTTTAATGCTTTTATTTTTTAATAGAACTAAGATTCAGACCAAGACTCTTGAATTGTGATATGCTGACTTGTTTAAAACGAGTTATAAGAAAGTATTTCATACTGAAATTTAATTTTTGTTAAGATTAATTTTAAACTTAAAAGATTATGTAACTTAACTACATTTAATTTTGTGCTAAACTCTTTATAAAAGTATAAAGAGATGGATGAAGTTTTCCTCATGTGTCAATTTTACATGAAATCATTTTCTCTAAAGTTCTAATGTAAGAACACAAAGATATTTTATTTATATGTGTGTATAAATATAATATTTCATTTGATATTTATACATTTTCTTTTTAACATTGCTTCAGTTTGTTTTGTATGTACATGTATCACATATTTCTGAAAAATAATTGATATAACTACGAGATACTAGGATTTAATTCTCTAATCGGATGAATCTTTGTATTTTGGTGGATTAAATTTGATGCAATAACACATACGGTGTGGGTGTACCAAAGGGAGTTGCCATGACGATTCTGACGTCATTGTGATACTGTCTTGGTATTAAGGATAGCCTTTGTTTTCGCACAAATGAAGCTGCGCTCGTGATGCATATTGATTTTCTTTAACCGGGAACAGTCACGGTCTTCGGAGTTCATGGTCACATATAAAGAGATCTGAAAGAGAAATTCAATTATAGATGTGCGTCATTTAATATAACAAGTTTAATGAAACGTTATTGTTTTATTTTATTTTAGTTAGCCTGTGATATTTAAAGAAAACGGGGCAAGATTTTATTTTATGACGTTTAGTACATAACAAAATTTTTTTAACTTTTAGTTATTATTAAATAGATTCAGTGTGAACTGTGCATGTAATTAATTACATTTTTAATATTTCTATAAGAAAACGGATGTAACAATTTAAAAAAATTTATTCTTCCAATCTTATTATTTTTTCTCTTCATTAATTTAATGCGAAAGAAATTTGTATCAAGATAGAGATAATTAAAGATTTGTAAAAAATTTGAACTTTATCAAATATAAATATATTTTAAAAATTATGTAAGTATTTCTTATTGTAGAAAGATAACGACAGAACAAAAGTAGACATTGTAGCATGATTTATAAGTTATTATAGATGTGGACAATTCCTTATCATAAGTAAAAATGAATTTTATACAAAAAAGTAAAAAAACGAGACGGATAATATTAAGATAATATTAATCCGCAAAATTAATAATCAGATAACATAAATCTAAAATAGAAATAAAAAATAAGCTTTGTCTTTCAGAGAAAAGTTTAAAATGTACGACACTTTTGTATATGATATATTATTGTATCATATGTATTAGTCTATAAAATTTCGTATGTATTTTCAAAACGTATATATTATTATAGATGCCCGTTCAATAATTTAAATTTTAGTCTTGCAAATTTGTTCAAAACTTTATAGAAAAAGTTTAATAAAACATTAGTATTAATCATTATGATTAATTAAAAACCTATCAAAGTATTTAATTTTCCGTAGCAAATTTCAAACGTCGTGCATTTTAAATTATTCGAATATTTGTAATATTTGGCGATTAGAGTCACTAGATTTTTAAAGTATCGTAATTGATTTCAGAAATAATGTCAAAATGACCGAAGTGCATGATTTCAGGTACTTGGTGGTGCATTTTTTAAACTGTACTTGCATGTCCTTTCATGCACTTTCATGCATTAAATTTTTACAACAAACAAACCCGTATTAAACTAAATAATACATAAATTAAGCATTCATATATATTTTTTTGGTCATAAAGAAACTAATTACAATTAAAAAATATTTATTTACGTACTTGACAGCTTTATTTTACCAAATAAAGTACATATATACAAATGCATAAATTTGAAATGGCCGCGTTTCGCGCCAAATGAGTATGAGTTTGCGATACTTTAGAAATCTAGTGACTTTACAGGCAGGCGATGCCGCGCCTGTGCGATGCCGCGTCGTGCGCGCCTTTTTAGCCGCCATGACACTTTCGCTGCGCGTCTCGTCGGTTTGGAAAGCGGAGCGCGAATAGTGTCGTGATATTTCGCGAATTTTATCCGTCGATAGTGCGTAATATATGTGAGTTTTCATTAGCAGTACCAATTAAAGTAACGGACGGTTGTTGAAACATGTTTGTTGCGGCGGATTTTCGCAATGGACGTCGTTCGCGGTCACAATTGATGTTTCATCGCTACGCGAAATCAAGACACCCCGATTCAAATTTCGGTAAGTATAGATTCCAGTGACAAGATACGCGAAAATGATCTTTACGATCATGAAACTTGAAATGAAGTATTATATACTTCTTATCAAGTATTTAGATCATCCCAATCATATCTAATGGAATATTCATTACAGATAAACAATATATGAGATCTCTGGCGGAAAAGATTTTTATGAAAAAGTACAGAAAATAGATTGATACAAGAGATCTTAGAAATTCTTAGTTTTTTATTGATATGGGACGTAGAGTGAAGTTTGTTTTAGAAATAGATCAATTTTTCGTATATATTCGTAGAATGGTGTATTGTTTGTTTCAATAAGATACAAAAAAAGATTCAGTAAAAATTCGTAATAGATATATCAGAATTAAGACATATATGGAAAGGGTGGAGGATTTCTTAGATTTTCAAACAGATTACACTATTGTATGTTCGCTACGAATACCTACAAAAAACTAAGAATTTCTAAGATCTTGTCTATGCAGTTTTTCGTAAAAATTTTTCCATTAGGGAAATACAATAAATTACAGCTGTACGTCGATTCCCAGCAAATAAAATTTGACATCAAAATGGCGATAAATAATTATCTTGTTGGTTGAGTTATAGATAACGAATTTGCGACAGTTTTGTTAAACAAATTCTGTACAGTTATAGCATCCATGGATGATGATGTACCGCGTTAGCAATCAAGAAATACTAAACAGATAATTATCTTATCCTGTGTCGAGATTTATGTTTACTCGTATGGTAACAAGGAAACGTTCGATAGTTTCATCAAACGAATTCTGTGCGATCATAGCATTACTTAGGGTCTGTCCCAAATAAATTTTTATTACTTTAAAAAATATACAAAAATCATTAAGTGACTTTTATATTTATATATATATATATATATATATATATATATTTAATATCTTTCAAAAATATTTATAGTTTATTTAAAAAAAAAAATATCATAAAATATCGTATAAAAATATCATAAGTTATTATGCTTAAATGATGTTTTTAGTTTTTTGAAGAAAAGAAACATAGAATATATGAGAATTCTCTCAATTATGCAGTACACTAAGGATGGAATATGATGTAGTGATTGAACAGTGATTACGATAATTTTTTTATTAACTGCGATATTTGTAGTTATTCTGTAAATTAAAATTATGAAGTTAGTGTAGTTACTTTTATAATTGTTGTATTGTGCATAATTAATTAAAATGTGGAATAGTAATGACAATAATCTTTTGATTAGTTGTGATTACTACTGTAGTTATTCTGTAGATTAAAATCACGAAATTGATATAATTATTTTTCATTTTCCACGTTTTTAAAATTCTGTACATGAGTTAATATGAATTGTAATTAAAATACATTATATTTATGTGTAATAATCGAGAATATTTATAGCTATAGTAATTGATAGTAATTAGCACTGAATGTAATCATTTTCTGATTAGTTATTATCGCTTATAGAAGTGGAAAATCAATGTAATTAATGCTATAATTACAGTTGTAATTAACGTTCTTATAATTATAGAATAATATGGTTGTAGAAAGCACTTTATTTAATTAGAATATATGGGGTAATAAATGGTCGCGATAACTTTTTTATTAGCTATAATCATTGCTTGTAATTGTTTCATAAAAAAGGATGGAATCTTTTAACCGCTCGAGCACTACGAATTTTATATAGAATTTATGTCAAATCTGAGGCTATCTCGAACTATTGCGTACTATAGACTAACATATACTACATATGGACTAACCTAGCTGTGACAGAGATAGAGATTCAAAGTTATGATTCCTCGAATATATTCTGAGCTAGTATTCTAACCACTCGCGATTATACTGGAAGAGACTTGAAGGAGTCTCCTTAAATTAATTGTGAGAATAGATATGTATTCTCACTTTCAAACGGGATCCTTTGCAATGGAGTTTTGTTAAGTGTTCTAGTTTTATAAAGTCTAATATGCCAGACTTAGTATCGTTCATTTGGATTCAGAAATTTTAGCGGCTTGAAAAACTCTTTGTAGATCAAACACTTGTACTTTGTACAGAGTTTAGAGTTATTATGGGGTTCCTGAGAGATTTACACGTAGATATAATAGATATGGTAATAAAATACAATTGAAATTGTTATAATTAATGCTATGATCGCCATGATTAATAGAATAATTTATCTCACAGTATTTTTTTTGCGAATTTTTATTCGCTGGGAATGACTTTTTAATTTATTAACAATAAATATGGTATAAAAAGAGAAAACATGATATATAAGAGAACACGTATAATTAATTTAAAAAAATATTAGGTAATTATTATGTTATGCTTATAGTGTAATCACGAGAACATGGAATAATTTCACCAGCGCGAGATGAAGTACGGAAACTCCCGTGAATTGTATGGAAACATCCGAGCATCCAATCACGCTTGTACTGCATTTGCGATACCTTAGAGGTCTTCAAGAATGACGACGGGATATTAGTGGAATCAACCTTCCGTGATCCAAGGCAACATCAAGGTAGGAAAATTTTCTTCTTTTTAGAAGCCATCTGTATTTCGCAAGGCGTGCATCAAGGTATCATTAATGCGAAATATTTGAAAATTAAAGATTATTATTTCTAACTTTTATTTTATTATACAATATGTGATTAAAAAATTTAATTTTTTTTAAATACACAACTTTTTGATTTGTTCTGCATATAAATATGCAGATATAAGATTTTGAAAAAAATATCTATATTGAGATCTCTATAAAAATAAAATTACAATTGACATTTTCAATTCGTTGTATAATTGATATTGTATAATTTTGATTCTGATTCTGAAAATTCTTGATATGTTTT